CAATAGATGCTGAGAAAGCTTTCGACAAAGTGCAACACCCATTCATGATAAAAGCCCTTGAAATTCTTGGGATACAAGGAACATACCTTAACATCATAAAGGCCATCTATGACAAGCCAACAGCCAGTATCATTCTCAATGGTGAAAAGCTGAAAGCAATTCCATTAAGATCTGGAAGAAGACAAGGATGTCCACTCTCACCACTGCTTTTCAATATAATACTGGAAGTCCTAGCCAGGGCAATAAGACAAGAGAAAGACATACAAGGAATCCAAATAGGAAAAGAAGAAGTCAAACTATCACTATTTGCAGACGATATGATATTATACATAGAGAACCCCAAAAACTCCACAGAAAAGCTAATTCAACTCATCAATCAGTTCAGTAAAGTGGCAGGTTACAAAATCAACACGCAAAAGTCAGTAGCCTTCCTATACACAAACAATAAATCTGAAGAAGAAGAAATCAAAAAAACCATCCCTTTCGTTATTGAAACAAAAAAAATCAAATATTTGGGAATAAATCTAACAAAAGAGGTAAAGGACCTATACAAAGAAAACTATAAAACACTGTTAAAAGAAATAGAAGAAGACACAAAGAAATGGAGAGACATCCCCTGCTCATGGATTGGAAGAATAAACATTATTAAAATGGCCATCCTTCCAAAAGCAATATACAGATTCAATGCTATTCCAATCAAAATTTCAATGTCATTCTTCAAAGAAATAGAACAATTATTGATGAAATTCATATGGAATCACAAAAAACCCCGAATAGCCAAAGCTCTCCTGAAAAAAAAAGGGAATGGAGGCATCACACTCCCAGACTTCAAACTATACTACAAAGCCATAATCATCAAAACTGCATGGTATTGGAACAAGAACAGACATACAGACCAATGGAATCGAATAGAAAATCCAGAAATAAACCCACAGATTTATGGTCAACTAATCTTTGACAAAGGAGCAAAGACTATGCATTGGAGCAAAGAAAGTTTGTTCAATAAATGGTGCTGGGAAAACTGGGTCACTACATGCAAAAGAATGAAGCTTGACCACTACTTCACACCATACACAAAAATCAACTCAAAATGGATTAAAGAATTAGACATAAGACCTGAAACCATAAAATACATAGAAGGAAATATAGGCGAAACACTACGTGATTTGCACATCAAAGACATCTTTACAGACACATCACCCAAAGCAGTGATAGTGAAGGCGAAGATAAACAGCTGGGACTACATCAAATTAAAGAGCTTCTGCACAGCAAAAGAGACAATAACAAAAACAAAGAGAAACCCCACCAACTGGGAGAACATTTTTGCACCGAACACTAATGATAAAGGACTGATCACAAAAATCTGCAAAGAGCTGATGAGACTCAACAACAACAAAGAAAATAATCCAGTCAAAAAATGGGCAGAAGAGCTAAAAAGAAACTTCTCTGAAGAGGAAATGCAAATGGCCAACAGGCATATGAAAAAATGTTCAACATCACTTGTCATCAGGGAAATGCAAATGAAAACTACCATGAGATACCATCTTACACCAGTGAGAATGGCACATATTAAAAAAACTAGCAACAACAAATGTTGGCGAGGGTGTGGAGAAAAAGGAACTCTTGTGCACTGTTGGTGGGAGTGCAAACTGGTCCAACCACTGTGGAAAGCTGTGTGGAGATTTCTGGACCTACTAAACATAGAGCTTCCATATGATCCAGCAATTCCACTCCTAGGTATTTACCCAAAGGACACAGAAACATCAATTCCAAAGAACACCTGCACCCCTATGTTTATAGCAGCACTATTTACAATAGCTAAGCTTTGGAAACAACCCAAATGCCCAAAAATAGATGACTGGATCAAGAAGATGTGGTACATATATACCATGGAATATTACTCAGCATTCAAAAAAGATAAACACATGCAATTTGCAGCAACATGGATGTCGCTGGAAGGGATCGTGCTCAGCGAAATAAGCCAAAAAGAAAAAGAAAAATACCGGATGGTCTCACTCATAGCAGGAATCTAGAAAACTTAAATAAGGGACCAGGAAAATGAATAACTATAAGAAAGTGAAAATCAAAATCAACAAAAAACTATGAACCAGAGACACTTTTAGGGGGGCAGGGGCGGGAGGGGAGGGATTGGGGTCAGAATGGGGGCGCTGCAATGGTATGGGGAATATAACAATAAAATTTATTATCTAAAAAAAAAAAAAATTAAAGATTTAGGCATATTAAAATTCCATCTCTTCTAGAACCTCTAATTCAAAGGGACACTTTTTAAATTCAGAAAATTATGAAACATAACAGGAATGACCAATTTGCTCTTTTGAAACATAAACAGTTGATTTTACAGAATTGCCACTATTGTTCTGGGAGTTAAACTGCATTACCATTGGCATAGCAGCCAACAGCCTATTCATTTCAAAAAGAGTAATCACCTTTTTCCTTTCTAAATTCAACAGAATGAACCATGCCCAGACAATTTCCCTTTGAAATTTACAAAATGATGACTTGGTTTCCATAGATTGTAATAATAAAGACTTAAACAATGTAGAGGGGTAACAATGATAGCAAATGGTAACAGTGATAGCAAATGATAACAATGATAGCAAAAATAATTCCTTTGTCTGTGCTGAGACATGAAATTTGACTGAATGACTATGCACCCTACTGTTTGTAATTGTTAAGATTATTTTTTAATATAATCAAATTCACCTGGTACCTGCTGCAGATTCTGAGGTAATGTGTTAGTCATTTCTAATAGTGACTCTAACACTACTCACTTATTGAGAGGGGTGTATAAAAGATTTCCAGGAGCACTTAAGGCAATAGCAAAACCCCCCAAAAATAGAATACACAGGAAAAATTAGCACATAACATTCCCACTCACCCCCCCCCCCAAAAAAAAAGCAGGCAGGGTTCTCCAGTTTTCTACGTCATATGATTTTGGATCAATCCTGGAATAGTATCTAAATTGTCCTCTTCAAAATTGCATGATTTAATTGTCAGTACTTTTATAGTACTTCTAGTACATTTTGTGCTTACCATGAGTTATTTCCTTTTGCAAATAACAGTTGAACCTGCACTTCTAGAAAGTTTCACCCATTTAAGTAGAATATGAAGCCATTAATCTCTGACTGTACCGTTAGATGATGTATCAGAAGCCGTATCAGTGTGGGCATATGCTGACGTCCTATGCATGAGGCATAAAGCACATGTCTCTTATTTCTCCAAATTAAACTCTCAGGGCCAGTGAATGAGTTCTTCTACCTGCCCAGAATGTATTTGCTTCTACAGAAACCCCTTCATCTAGTTTTCAAATCTCCGCTTGGTTATTTTTGTTCAGGAAAACTTTTTCAGCTCTCCCTCTATTCTGCCAATGTACATGGTTTTGTAACATCTCTCCATTTTCTATTTATATGACTGATAATTTTTTGAAAGATTCATCTATCTACATATGGAAGAACTGAGGTATAGGCCAGAGGTGCAGGGGATGAGAGGATTCACCAGAGACCAGAGTGGGGAACAGAACAGGCGGATCTACTGAAATACACTGCTGAGGGGAGCAGCCAGGGAGACAGAAGAGGTCTGCTGTGCCATATGTGGGTTAGCTCCCTGGCCGGGGATTGAACTCAGGCCTTTGTGGTGATGAGACTTAACCCCTGTGCTACCAGGGAGGCCCCTATATGACTGATAATTTGATTAATATCTGTCTTTCTTCATAGGCTGTAACTCTATGACCCACAAACCTAAAGGCTGTGTTTAGTTTTGTTTATTAGTGCATTTATAGCATTTAATTCAGTGGCTGGATCTAGTAGAGGACTGATTTTTGAATGACTAAATGAATAGGAAGCTGTGTTTTTGCTTTGAAACACAGTTGTAGTTCTGCCTCACCCAAGAGTTTTGCTATAAATTTTTTGAATTCATTTTGTATACAACACTTTAAAACAATGAAAAGTAATGATTTGCATTAAAAGTAAAACAAAAAATGTGTAAAAATAATGAATTTTACAAAAAGTGTAAAAACAATGAATTTTACAAAAAATATTTATTTAATTTAAAACATGAACTCAGATATTTTTAAAAATCATCCCATAATCTCACCATATATAATAGCAACTATTAATATAGCAAATTAATATAGCAAACATTAATATAGCAACTATTTTCATTTTATCAAGACACTATCCTTAAACAGATGTGCTGCTGGAACTTGGATATTTCTAAATGTCTATGGTCTTCCTCCTCTGGGAACCCCATTTCTCTGCATGATGATAGGCTTCTTCCCCAACTCTCACTGGAAATAAGAATCTATAGGAAATAAACTTTTATTCTTTTTTGTCTAAAAAACCCAATGCCCTCTAGAGGTGAGAGTACACTGAAAAGTTCACACAAAATAACCCCAGGCTTTGCTACCTGTGTTGCTAAGCAGCATGGTTAAACTGCCTTCAGCCTCAGGAACCCAACCCCTGAATTTGTGCCAAATTCACAAGCAACAACTTTCTCAGTAGGAGAAAAGTAGGAGCCCACTGTAGGAGCCCACTGGAAATCCTAGGAACTGTTCTCTTGTGTGACCTTTGATTGTGTGAGGGTTTTGGCATTGTTTTAACAAGAGATCATTTAACCACTTCAGTCACCACTGTGACTCAGTGTCTCGACTAAGATTAGGGTAAAATGTTCAGATATAAAAATACTTGGATTAATCTAGTGAGCAACTGATAGTTTTGCCCATATTTATGTTCCATTGTCATTCTGGTAACCTGAAAGCAATTGATTATACTAGCCTTAGATCAGAAAGAAAATAAAAGTTTAAAGATCCCACATTGCAAGTCAATATGAATTTTTAGCATATTTTCTTAATTGAATGTTCTGGTGGAAATCTGTAGGTGGTTTCATAGAATTTGGAAAAATAGATAAAGCATCTATTTTGTTATCACTGGATGCCTTGTAATGGCAACCTTTATGGTCATGCATGTTTTATTCTCTCTTAGTTATGTTTTCCAGAGGGATAACCAATTGGCTGATACAGTAACCAATGAAAAGTAACCTGACTCCATTGACCTGCTTAACCTTACATGGGAACTATGGAAAGGAGCAGCCGTTTTCTTTGAAACAGTGGAACAGGTATGGAACATCTTTCATTATTGCCTTCCTTCATTTCATTACAAAACAGCAAGTTGTTCCTGTTTGAGAACACAGAATTGGAGTTACAAGAACAGGTATTGTGGGTTATTTTGTAACATTTCTAAGGTGTCCGTGTCTTCAGGTTTCTGTTTATATAAGGACCAGTGCAATTAAGAGATAATTCATTAATAGCAAATAAGTCATCAGACTAAGGAAGAATTATTCCTTGTAAATTTAGGATAAGCATCTTGAACATGTGTTTTGCTTTAAGATATAATGCTCTTTGAAGAAGGAGATTTTGATCCAATAAATGGATTTTGATGGAGAAATCACAGAATAAGCAAAATATAAAGCATGTTTTTTCCCCAATAACAGGCTTTGAAAGTGTTTTTGCTGTGTTTAATGATTTGGTTTCCCTGCCCACATTTGTTTTCTCAGCTGAAAATGGACCCTGCCAAGAGAGACATAGTTTGATTTTTTTCCCCGTTTTTCAGAATTCACGTAACAGATATGTGAGGCTTTTTTTTTATGGCTTGGAAAAGAATATTTAGATCAGAGTTGTAGAACTCCTGGGATTATAATCTATAAAATAAATTTTTATTATGAATCATATATCCATCATCACTGGAGAGATGAAACTTCTATCCATTATATCTATTAAAAGATAGGTGAGCTGTATGTGATATGACAGGACTGTATAGTGGCAAAAGCTTTAAGAAATTATGTTATTGGCATTGTAATGCAGCTAGAAGGTAATTTAAGATCAGAAGATTATGAACTGGATGATCAAAATTAAATTAGTAAATAACTTTGCATGACAACATTTTTTTCCTCCATTGAATGACTTATACATGAGAGATTATAAAGACTTAAATCTTGCATGGAAATATTAGGATTCAAAAGTTTAAAGAAGAGAATTCATAAAATGTTATTTTATATAAGGAATTAAATGAAGGTATGGCTCTATTACTTTGTTTATATTTATTTAAGGAGAGTTTTTAGGGATGTTTTGTCTATTTCTCTGTAATTAATATGTTCTCAGGACACCAGGACACAACTTTAGTTTCACACATTAAAGCAACTAAGGATTTCAATGTGTACTATTGAATTTGAAACTAAATGCCATCTATATCAATAATATATGAAGAGTATGGTTTCTAGTTCAACAAGGAGAGAAAAACTAGTGTGTTGTTGCTGCTTAATGCATAGAAAGCAATCTTGTTGCCTTTTGGTTTCTTTCTTTTTTTTCCCAGTTTATAGATACAGCATTGACAAACTCTCAGCCAACTATTTTTATCTTGTGTTCTAATACTGATGTAAAAGGGTTTTTGTTGTTGTTGTTTTTTTTTAAACACCTTAATTAAGAGACGTTATCTGTCTGAAGGAACATCAGTTGGGAATAAAGCAAAGAAGGTGAAACAGAAAGTAAACAATTTCCAAACTCTCTGCAAAACACATTCTGGTGCCTCCCTGGTGTGCAGGGGTTTAAGACTCAGCACTATCAAGCTATAGCCAGTCACTGATCCCCAGCCAGGGAGCTAATCCACATGGCACAGCAGACCTCTCCTGTCTCACCGGCTCCTCCCCTCAGCGGTGTATTTCAGTGGATTCACCTGCTCTGCTCCCCACTCTGTCTCTGGTAAATCCTCTCACCCCCTGAACCTCTGGCCTAGACCTCACTTCTTGTATGCTTAAATAAATAAAAATGAATCTTAAAAAAAAAATCCTGGATATTGTTCAACTAAAATCATAAAGCAAATCAGTGACTGGGTCTCATTTCACAAGAATAAGTCACAGTGTGATGGGATTTCTAAATGAAGAGATGATTTGACAATAGAGATAAACCAAGAAAATAGCCAGTTACCAGTTACCATATCTTTCTGGGTGTAAGTCTCTATGTATGAGCTACCTGAGAAATGGAATCTCCCCTCTTTTTTCCCCAATAGGAAGAGGAGTATGTGAGGGATACTCATGAGCCACGGTAGGAGTAATCTCAGGGTGTTTCCAGGACTCCTCTATTCCACACCTAAGAGAAGTTCTAACCCCGTTCCCAGATGAGATCAGGATTTTTTTTCCTCCGATCTTTACAAAAGCTGGTTTTATGTGGGATCCCCAGCCCCCCTTGTTCTTAGGGATATTGTTTTGGTGCCCAGAGTTCCTGCTTGTAAGCTGGTGTAGGGTCATGCAGGGGCCTCTCACCAAGGGCAAAAGTCCTGGTATGAGGAACATACTGGAAAACCAGTATCTGTTGAAAATTGCAGGCAGATAATAGAAATATTATGCTTTGACCAACAGGAACAATGGAGCCCCCCAACCCCCGCCCTGGCTATAGCCCCTGGTCACTCCACCTTAGCTTACATTCCCAATAACCGCTTCCTCCTCCTCCTCCTCCCCCACGTACATTCCCTATGGACTTGCCCCACCTTTGAACTTAATGCTAATACAAGACTGTCTTTGCATGGGGGTGCACACTACTCCTGGCTTCTCACTGCTCCGGCTGGACTTTGAGTAATCTTGCCCTTATCCTGTGCTGCTTCCAACACCAGCACCCTGTGAAGCGTCAATTTTGTCTTTGTTTTTCTTTAAATTCTTGCTGTAATGATGATTATTCCAATAGATTCAAAGAAAAATGGATGATTATTTCCATTGTTGGCTAAATTTTGGAAAACATAAAAAAGGAGTTATACAAATTATGGCAAAAACAAAACAAAACAAAACACATATATATACCTGACCTGTGAGGATTGATTCCCAATAATTCTGTATTAGCTGGGTATTTAAATAATATTTTGCTTGTACTTAACCATGTTTCTTGCCTGTAGCCTTTAACACTTTAGCCTCAAGCTATATCTTTGGCTCTCCTAACTCCTTTCTCCCCCTTTTTGCACCTGGCACAAAAATGTACTTCAGATTATCCTCCAACAAATGGCTAAAATGAACTCTCTTCCCTTTTAGAGAGTGGGATCCAGTATGTATAACCTTCCTGGCTAATTTCTTCCTTTGGTTTTGCAGCCTGAGAAAATGGCAAGTAACATGCTTAACCAAAGACAGCGGACTTTGTCGACATCTGGAGAAGCTCTATATGAAATTCTTGGTCTACATAAGGGAGCATCAAATGAAGAAATTAAAAAAACCTACAGGTACAGGGGAAGTGCAATGATGACATTTCCAGCACTAGCAGTGATAGCTATTTTGTAATTGGCCAGTGCCTCCAATCAAAGATATAAGCTTCTTGCCAAACCAAGTTATGCGAGATTTGTTCTCTCTTTTACTACAAAGACATTTAAGAATAAATAGGCATGACATCAGTCTTATAACATAATTTTCTCCTAATGTCAATCCTCAAGAAAGGGCAGCCTGTGTTCAAGACCAGAGGGAGAGAGGGAGGAAGAGAGAATCTGAATTACTATGAACGAATGACCAGCACTTGTGATTTGATCCATATGCTATAACACCATTGAATCTTAAAGAAGAACGAAAAAAATAAATAAATAAATGGGGACTTGTCATAGTTGTTGCATTACATGTTATATACTTTTCAAGAATTTAAAGTTGGCCTTTCATATCTGATATAGTTCCAAATTAGCTGTTTTTGGGAACAATTGAAATACCTTTATCTTTAAGACTCAAAGGAATGGAATAAAGTATTGAGTATACAAAAATAATTTGTTTGTTGTAGGAAATTGGAAATATCATTTATCAACAATTCTGTCTAGTGATATTTATTAGTATTTGGTTTCCTGGGGCCTCCCTGGTGGTACAAGGGGTTAAGCATCGGCATTATGAAGCAATCCGCAGTTACTGCAGCATGAATTCAATCCCGGGCCAGGGAAGTGACCCACATGGCGCAGCAGACCTCTCCTGTCTCAGCCCCTGATCCCCTCAGCAGTGTATTTCAGTAAATCCAACTGTTCAGTTCCCCACTCTGTTCCTGGTGAATGTTCTTAACTCCCTTCTCCATCTCTGGCCTACACCCCAGCTCTTATATGCATAAATAAATAAATAAATCTTAAAAAAATTTTGGTTTCCTTCTAGATAAGACATTTTAAAATTAAATTGGATTCATCCATCTCTTTTTAACAAGGTCCTATCATGAAAATATCTTCATATTATTAAATATTCTGATTTTTAATCACTAGCCTATGACTATTCTGTAGCTTCATTTCTTTGTGAGGTAATTGTTTCACATGTCAGTTTTTTTTTTTTTTTATAGAGGCATGTTTATTTATTTATTTATTTATTTTGTTTGTTTTGTTTATACATGCACTGGGTACAGCCAGAAGCACGGGAGGGTGAGAGAATTCACCAGAGCCAGAGCGGGGAGCAGAGCAGGCAGAAGGACCGGAGTACACTGTTGAGGGGAGCAGCGGGCGGCAGGAGAGGTCTGCGCGCCATGTGGGACCCTCCTCTGGTGGCCGGGAGCAGTCGGGGATCGAACCAGCGCCGTAGAGGCCGCGGGCAGTTTCGCAACCCAGCTCTCAACCGCTGCGCCACCGGGGAGGCCCTCACATGTCAGTTCTTTTAATATTTTCCTATATTTAATATCTTGCTTGTATAAAGCCATGATGCATATTACCAATTATTTTCTTACTGATTGAGAAATAAAGCTGTGTCTTTAGAGAAAATAATGAATTAAAGTATAAATGAATTTTTCAGATTTTGATCAATTAATTCTTGATTTGACCTTGATTTAGGTTTTTAAAACTTAGTTTTTTCAATATATAGAAGTGTGGAATTTTAAATAGGCAAATTTGTTAGTCACTTCCTTTATAAGTTTCATCTGTTGGAGTTAAAAAACATCTTTCCCAATGAAAATATGAAATATTAACCTATACATTCATTTAATACATTTATTCTTTCCTTTTTTATTTTTGGAGGAATATATCAATTTATTTAAAATAAAACACCTGCTACCATCCACTAGACCCCCTTCTTCCTTGATCCCACACTTAATTTCTTCTCTGGTAACCTCAGTTCTATTGTTGCTATTCAGCAGTTTTTATTTGGTTTTGTCCATTTATCTGTTTTTTAAAACTTTTACTATATATTTAAGTGATATCAATCAATATTTTCTTTCTCCCGACTTATTTTGCTTCCCATAATTCCTTCAAGGGCCTTCTGTTTTGATGCAGATGGGAAAACTTTATCAGAATAGTATTCTATTATGAATATATGGGATATCTTCTTTATTTAATCAACTATCCGTGGACACTTGGGTTGTTTCCATATCTTAGCCATTATAAATAATGCTACAATAGGGGTTAAAGTTTCAATGCTATAAAGCTATCACCAGCCACTGTGGTGATCACCAGGCACTGCAGCAAATTCAATCCTCCATGAGGGAGCTAACCCACATATGGCGCAGCAGACCTCTGCTGTCTAGACTGCTGCTCCCCTCAGCAGTATATTTGGGTAGATCCACCTGTTCCACTCCCCACTCTGTATCTGGTGAATCCTCTCGCTCCTCGCACCTCTGGCCTACACCCCAGTTCTTGAATGCATAAATAAATAAAAATTAAAAATAATAATGATTCTACAATAATTATTTCATATTCTTCAGATAGACAAGCTGAAGTGGGATTGCTAGATCATATGTTAGTTCTATTTTTAGTTTTTTGTAGGTGTTCCATACTGTTTTCCAAAAATGGTTGCATCAATTTCTATTCCTACCAACAGATAGTATTCTTGGCAGACTGTTTTTATCTTTGAGTATTTTGAATACATCATTCCAGTCTTCCCTTGCCTGTGCAATTTCTGCAGAGAAGTCTGCACTCTGATGGGAGTATCTTTATAAGTTACCTGCTTTTTCCCCCTTGAAGACTTCGATATTCTTTCCTTTTTTTTTTTGAACACTTGCTAGATTTACTACCACGTGTTTTCATGTAGGTTTTGCTGTCTTTAGGTTACTGGTTATTCTTTATGCTTCGTGGACTTGTATATTTAATTCTCTGGGGTCCCTGTTATATATTGTTCCTCTAGATGTTATTCCATAAATCTCTCATGTTATTTTTGAATTTTTGATTATTTTGCCTTTTGCTTGTCTGTTTGGTTGCTTCCATTACCCTCTGTTCCAGCTCACTGATTTTATTTGCATCTTCTTGTCTACTGTTGAGTTCTTCTATTGTATTTTTAAGTTCAGGTATTATTTGTTTGAATATTTCTCTTATTTTCTTTATCCTTGTAGTTCTTGTTTTGTTCATTGATTGTTCTTATTTCAATAAACATAGTTAGGACTGCTACTTTGAACTTGTTCAGATAAGTTACATAGTTCTGTTGTATTTTACTTCCCCACCCCCTCAGGGTTTTGCTTTGCTCCAACATTTGTGGTATATTCTGCTATTTCTTCATCTTGCTTTAAACTGTAAGTTAATTTCTACTGGTTAAGATAAACAACTTTCTTCCCTTAAGTTGATGTGTTGACCTTCTATTAAGATTACAGGTTGCAGAAATAGTCCTAGGTTGTTTGCCCAGGATACTGGCAGCTCTTTTATTTTATAGCTGATGCCTCTGTGCCAGTTTTGATGCCTGGAGTGCTAGTGCTGGCACAAGGTAGGCGCTTCTGGGGCAGTGGAAAGCAAAGAGGTTGCTGCTAGACCATAACAAGAGTTTAAGCCTTCCTGCTGTCTGTGATACCAAGCTAAGGAGGAGAGCTACAATTACCCTCTCCTCTAGGTTGGTTTCTTAGACAGAGCTTTCCATTAAATGCAGGCTTACACAGACCCTTCAGTTTGGTCCAGCACTGGCATGTAAACTCTGCAGTGTGGGCAGGTGCAGAGTGATCTGGGAGCTGCAGGTTCAGACTGCAGACAGGCCTTAGCCCCAATAATGGTCACAGGTGATAAGGGATGGGTATTTTTCAGCACCTATGGGCACCATCCATAAAAGTTTGCTTCCCTTGCTGTCCTTTCTTAACCTCCCCTCTTAGAGATTCCCCTGGAAGGGAGCTGCATTTGGGAGGAAGGTATGATCTAGAGTCTGTTTCTAGCAACTTCCATGAACTGAGCTTTCCTGGAGGCACAAACTCCTCCTGCCAGGGCCTAAATGTTATAAATTCTGACTAAAGGCAGCAAGTACCACAGGTAAATATAATCCCAAAGATTTCCTCAGCAGTGAACTGGGATAGGTATTTTTCACAACACAGAAGCCAGTTGTAAAAAAAAGAAGCCTCTCATGAGGGAGTCACAGGCAAAACTCATTCTGCTCCCCAAAATTTCCACTAATTAGGCCTTCCCCAAAAACTCAGACTTTAGCTGTCTAAATCAGGGTTTACAGGCTCAAGCTGACATTTATTACCTTGAAGCAGTTCTGCACCAGTAATCAAAAAGATTGCCTAATGGCCTCTAAGCTCACTAATTTCAGGGTGTTTTATCCCCCATGCCTGGGTCATTGGTTGATTTCTAGTAGTGTGGCATCTCCCCTTGCTGGTGTCTATCTGCTCCCCAAGTACTTGCCCACAGATGTCTGCTCCCCTGTATCCTATCACTCTCAGAAGGAACTCTCCATTTTCCACATCTGGTTGTGTATGCTCCCTTCTATAATACAGTCCCCAGGTACCAGCGTCCCTGAGAGAGGTATGAGCCCTCAGTCATCAAAAAGTCTCCATCCAGCAACTGCCCCTCCCCTCTTGGGTCACTGTGTCTCAGTGACATTCCAAGCAAAATTATGGTACAATTTTTCCTACCTTCTCTGACATTTTCTGGTACTTTTCCTTGTTAAAATGCTGATCCTTCAGTCATCCAGTCTTGTTTTGATATGTTTTTATGATGCTTTATTGTATATTTGGAGAGGAGGTAAGCACAGAGTCAAATCTTCTGTTAGCTAGCCAGAATTCCCTAATAGATTTATGACATTCCTTTTTATATTAAATCTTTATTTGGAGTTCAACATGAAGAATGAAAGTAGAATTCCAGATTTAGCTTTTTCCAAATCACCTGCCCACCAAAATGTATTGAATATTCCATTTTTATTGATGTGAAATTCCTTGGCTTTGGAATAAATCCTCAACATGTAGTAGATTTTGCAAACTGAAATGCCTTCAAGAAACATGAAGGGCCTCCCCGGTGGTGCAGCGGGTTGAGCGCAGTGCTGTGAAGCTGTCTGCAGACTCTGCAGCACGGGTTCCATCCTGGCTGGCTGGGGA